ATATATATATATTGATAAAAGGGGAGTTTTTATTGGTCCATCGCACACATCTTTACGTGCGGTTGGCGGACGCAATAATTTCACCTGAAATCCACATTTTTTTTTCCAACTGTTTAGTTTGCTAAAAAATAAATACAACTTGAAAGTAACATAATGTAGTTGGAATTTTATGTTTTTGGAATTCTTTGATATTATTTGGTTTTCTGAAATGTAAATACAAGAATTTATATTTTTATGTAAAATATGTATGGTGATAGTGATGGCAGCAATTGATGGTTGTGACGTTTGCATCGAGTGATTTCATGCATATGGTGGTCGCCACATAGACGAGCGGTCGGTGGCAGCAAGTGGTAAGTGGCGGGCAGCGGGAAGACGACCTCTATCTGCATGTGGCAGGCGGCTTGCTGGCAACAACTAACGAAGACCCCTGGAAGTAGTAGGTGGAGACTTTCAAAAGTAGTTGGCGAAGACCGCTTATAGTGGCGGGGCAACGACAAAGAGAGTGCATTTTTTGTGTTTGGAAATAGCCCAATTCTAACGAATGCATAATAACTAGTTTTGAACTACACGGTGAATTCCAAATTCATCGAAATTGTTACATTGATTTCTTTTTTCATTGAACGAAATATCATAATTTTGGAAACTCTTAAACGCAAGAACTTATCTGGATGTGACATTGTAGCTGCTACAATACTGCTCTTCCTTTTTTCTAATTGATCCTCTACCTTCTTTATTCCCTTTCTAATTTTATTCTCCTTCTATTCTAATGCCTTCATGTTCGAACTACTACTACTTATTATAAGTACGTTGTCTTAGGGTTTAGTTTTTTTTCCAGATTTTTAGATTTCTGTACAAGCCAACTGTTGGGGTTGTTTTCTCTTCTAGGGTTATATCTGCTGGCAAAGAGGTGCTCAGTCTGTATCTAGCTCGAAGCAGTGATCATCTCCAAAGATTTGAGGGGGTACTCCAGCTATAACTCAATCTTTGGGAGATATTTATCCCTTTTCCCTTCTACGCGTGCTGCCACTGCTTGTTGCCAGCCTCCTTCCAGCAAGCCTCCCTTAGTAGTCCATCATACAGTCCCACAACATCAAGTCGTTAACCACCTTCTAGCATGACCTCCGCTTCCATCTCTCCCTTCTGGGCCCGTCAATCTCCTCTAGAGAGTTATTTTTGTGTTTTGTCTTGTTCCTTCTGTTATTTTTTAGCGCGGTCATTGTTGTGTGTTGTTTACATATTTTTATTGTTTTATGCTGAGGATTCCTTGTAGTACTTTGAATTCAACAATAAAATTTGTTGTCCGGGCTTGACTTGGGTTAACTCTGATATTATTTGCTATTTGAGCTAGTCTAATCCTAGTCTAATCATAGGATTTTTTTAGAGTCCGTCAAAATTTATTTTTTTTATTTCTTCTATCTTTCTTTTCTTTTTTCCCTCCCCTCTTTACTTTTTCTTTATTCTTTCTCTTTCTTTCTTTTTTTCTTTTTTTTTCCCTTTTCTCTTATAAGTTCCAAATTTTCAACCGTGCCCCGGAGGAAATACATGCCAGGCCCCACTAGGGATGAAATACAACGGGAAATCTGTCATTTGCAATAGAGGTTAGCAGAGATGGATGATGGAACCCATGGGAAGTTTATCTTTGATTGCAATCTGGAGAGTCGAAAGAGGGACCAGGACGAGATCTGAATTTGTTTCATAGGGAAGACATCAATGATTAGGAATACCGAACACACTACTTCAAAATTCAATATTAGAGGAGGCTGAGAGACTAGTTTTTTTTTTTTTTTTTGAAAAAGACATATCGTAGTTTTCTAACAACCACCGTAGATAATCATATATTGTGGGAAAACACAGCTTTTAATTGTAATTTTTTAAGAATGCAGACATAAATTTTTTTTACCAAACATGAAAAACTACAGTACGACATCGCACCGCCGCCCTAAACGCACGCACCCTATGTTTCTATTATAAATTTAATTTAAATTTAATATCATGTATTTTTTGAAATTTTAGTTTATTTATTTATTCCAAAAGATCATCTAAAATTCTATATAGCAACTTGTACCTATTTAATAAGCGAAGTGTTTTTTTTAAGTTAATTAATGTACAAATAGTTAAAGTACTACGATGCAGTATTTTTATTGTTCTACTCATTAAACTAATTTGTTTAGTTAATTATTATATAATTAGATCGGAACATTTATTATTTTAAATAAAAAATCAGTTGCTATTAGCCTCATTAACAACATCTAATATTTTCTTAAAGCTAATTCATAATTTCTAAGACTATTTTTCTATTTTTTTATTATATTTCACTAAAAAAATTAGCAATTATTTAATTAATTAGTATTTATTTTTAAATTGATATTTTAATCAATAACTCTACAGCCAATGAGACTAGGGTGCGTTTGGGGCAACTTGTCGTTTCAGAAAAAATAGCTTATCCTAAAACGCGGCCTGCGGGTCGACCGCGGGGTTCGACCCATGACTTGCGTTTAGTGCTAAAATGCAACCGCATTTTCGGATAAGCATGTAAAATGAGCGATCCAAACGGTACCGTAGTGTTTTTAAAAACACCCCCGCACTTATAGGCTGCCCCAAATGGGCCTTAAACTATTATGACATGCATCATATAATATAAATTGGTCTCAAAATCAGTACTTAACTATATTAATTAGTTAGATTGATTTATTTTTCAAATTTTCTTTTAATCATTGTTGGGTGATAAAAAAAATTATTGCATTAGGGTGATAATTTAATGTTTTAGTGTTGCCTAAAGATTCAACACACAAAAATGAAATAAAAATCATAAGAAGAGACACTAAGATTTTTCTCTGACAAAAAAACGTAGAAAGAGAAAAAAAAATTACGGGGCTTAACCCAGTTAAAATAATCGTTTATGTAATATGGAGTGCAGAGCTTAACTCTCATCAGTATCAGGGAAGATTGGATTACAAAAAGTGATGATCATAGCTTTATAATAACGTTTGGCCATAATAGTCATAATTTGGTAACAAAAAATTTAATTTGTGGCTAAAAAGATAGAAGTTGGTTGCATCAGTTATAATTGGTGACTATAATGGCCGTAGCTGGTTGTATTCATTGTTGATGGTGGTCGATAATGACTTTTGGTAGCATGCAAAAAATTTTGGGGACCGGAGATAATCAGTTTCAGAAAATCCTTTATTAAACTGCCATCTTGATGTTTTTTAAGAAAATATTAAATAATTACTCTATTTAAATGTTGCACATAAAAAATGTGTCAGTGTTAATCCTGATGAGATTTAACGGGTAAGAAGAAAGAAAATTGACAAATGAGGGCTCATCAATAGAAGATCAGGAGGGCCCGCAGATAGAAGAGAACCACTTATCCGACCAGATATAGCTAACCTAGTGAAAGCAAGCAAGACCAAAACCGACCAAGTCATGAGGACCATCGAATGACTTGAATCCAAGCCGTTTGACCTGTAACAAGACAAAAGACATAAAAGAAAACCACTACAAAAAAGATGATTCAATACAATCGATTACATGCCATCTGATTCGATTTGAGGAAAGATCCAGTCCCTCGATGTCACGGATGCCCTCAAGGCATCTCATCAAAGATTAAGAATTAATAATGCAACAATAAGTTTTATAATCATCCCTCAGGCTCTCGTCGTTGGAAAGCAAGCTACCTATCAAGTTACGGTGATTCAACATATGCTCAATAGACCAGCATTACTTTGCCGACAAGAGTTCCCTATCATTGATAGAGGGTATACAACTGGACTAGATCAATAGATCGACAAAGCCCAGCTGATTGAACATGTCCTACCTATTTAAAGTCAATCAAGCTTAGTTTACTGACAATGTCGGCTCAGCCATGCTAACCAAACCAGCTATACCGAGCAGAAGACAAACATGTTCGGCCGACTGAGCCAGAGAGCAGCAGAGCGATACACTTGTGTATGTAAAGTATTGAGAATACTCTATACAAACCCATTAAAATAGGGACAAAAATGTGATATCTTCATATTGTACCATCTCCCTTATAAATATATATATTATTTCATGAATAAGACAAGACATATTATTGTTCACTTCTCTCCCTCTCTCCCTCCATTTTTATGCTCTATTCCTTGGTGTGTGATTCAAGTACAAATCAGGATTCAACAAATGCATTATTTTTTTCTTCATTTAATATTATATTAAATATGAAAAATTCTTTAATCTTCAATAATCATTTGCTAGCTTTCATTTCTTCTCTGATGAGCCGTCTTTGTTGGTCATGTTAATGCCTTGTCTGGTAAGCTCTTGACATTGATGCCCTCATACATTAGCACCTACTGCAATTTTTTTTACATTAGCACCTACTGCAACTACTGCAATTTTTTTTTTTTTTTAAACTTTCCCATCAACAACTTCTTTAGCTTGAGCTAACAAACCAACTCATGATCTGAACTTGAACTTTGGGTATGACTTGAGCTCAAGCTCAAACCAGTAAAAAAAAGAGTCAAACAAGAGTTTAGTGTAACCACGGGTGTAACCGGGTTGAGGTAATGCCAGTCATATTTTATTATTTAAATAGCAAAATATATACTTTTGCCGCTTGTTTGAAATCACTTAATAACCTCATAAGAGTTTAAAAATGCTAAAATTTTGATATGTTAATCCAATAAAAAATCAGTAAAAAATAATAAAAAAATAAATCATTATAAGTTTTATAGCAATAAAAAGAATTCAGTGTGTCGGCGTGCCAGAAAGGTTGAGCAGAGCTTCGGAACATAGAAGCGAGGAAAATAGAAACTATGCAGAGTGAGTCATAAGCAGGCATGCTAGAGAGGCGAGCGAGACACGAGGCAAAGCAAGGGTGACCAGAGCAAGCCCTACGTCCTTAAAGTAGGAGGCAGAGCCAAAAAAAAATTTTCAATAGGGGCATAAATTAATAATATCAAAATAACATCAATTTGTTTATCTAGACATGAAATTACTATTGACTATTGTACTTTTCTTTTAATTTTTAATCTACAATTGATAAAAATATGCTAGTAAAAAAGATAAAAAAGAATATACTTTAAAATTCTTGAATCATCATGTATTATCAATATTATAATCATTTACATTATAACATGAAAATAATTTCATAGTTTTAAACCTAATATATTTGATTTATGAATTTGTTTAAATGCCCATGCTACAAAAAAGACTTTGAGCTAGTCATTTTCTTATTTTTATGCTATTTAGAATAATTTAAGTACATACCATTCAATTCTAATGTATTTACTTTTTTAACACCTAAACTTTTATTTTATAATACATGTCACTTACCAATGCATAAAAAAGTATATTTTACTTTTTTTTTAAAATAAAATAGTGATATTTTTCATATAATTTGAATGATTTTGGGTGGTAGCAAACTTAACAAAAAATAGAATTTAAGTGTCTTATTTGTAAATACATAGAAATTGAGTGGCATGTATGTAAATGCATTTAAACTAAAGCTTTGTTGGGAAGGTTTTGTGATAGTATACCTTTTAATCCCATATCATGAAATTATAGATTACTGGTGCCCTTTAAATAGAAAAGCATATGTAAAACTCCTTTGGAAACTTGTGTGGGGTTATGATGTGTTGTATTTTTATACTATATAATATAAAGTATTTTCAATATTAAAAACTTAATTTTTCATTGTATATTTTTACCGTTTGAATTTTGGTGCAGTCAATTTGGATTTATGCCTGGCAGGTTTACTATGGAAGCTATACATTTATTGAGAGGTTTGATGGAGAAGTTCAGAGATAATAAGGAGAATCTACATTTGATTTTTATTGATTTAGAAAAAGCTTACGATAAGGTTCCAAGAGATATCCTTTGGAGAGTTCTCGAGAAGAAATGTGTTCATATGACTTATATTCAAGTCATTAAAGATATGTATACTAGAGCTGTTACTTGTGTTCAAACTGAAGGAGGATTGACAAAATATTTTCCTATTTCTGTTGGATTACATTTAGATGCCCTTGAATTTTCTCTGATTTTGTCCACGTTTAAACACTTGATATTATTTGTTGAGTTTTTTATTCTGAGAAGAAACTTGAGCTAGAGAGATTAATTTGCTCTTTTTAGTCTCTGTTTATGAAAGGGTTGCTTTATGTTTCATCTCTTTAGAATGAAATTCATACATTGAGAAGTGATTTCTTATGTTTTCTTGGTTTATCTTGCATCCTTCTGCTAATCTTTTTCTCTTACGAAGCTCAGGATTATATCAGATTCATTTGAATTCTTAAATTTCTAAAGATATCATATGCATTCCATTCAGTGGAAGTGGTTTTAATTTTAAACTGAAAAGATGAATGATATACTTGAAGCACAAATTAGATAGACTAAAAATATGGACAATAAGAATAGAAAGGTTGAGCTACTAAATCACAAGTAGTTTTCTTTTTGAACTTTTTGAAGGAAATAAATTATTTTTGCAAGTTTTGTAGTGTAATTTTACATAAAAGTTTGGGGTGCAATTTATATATAATAGTAGTTATGGATAGAATAAAGTCGTCTTAGATGGTTTGGTCATATTAAACGTCGACCATTAGATGATCCGATTAGGAGAGTAGATGTTTTAAATTCGACTTGTGTTAAGAAAAGCAGAGGTAGACCTAGGAAGACTTGGGCTTATTGTATTAAAAATGATCTTAATTTACTAGAACTAAATGAAAATATGATACTAAATAGGACGCAATGGAGAAAAAGGATTCATGTAGCCGACCCCACATAGTGGGATTAAGGCTTTGTTGTTGTTGTTGTTGTTGTTGTTGTTGTTGTTGTTGTTGTTGTTGTTGTTGTTGTTGTTGTTGTTGTTGTTGTTGTTGTTGTTGTTGTTGAATTTTGGTGCAGTCAGAGCAGAGCAATAATCTGTCTAATTACTCGATGCTAAAATGGAGAGTCCAATGGCAATAACGGATGTAGATGAAGATTAACAATTGTTGGAAGAACTTGAGCCCAAAGCTGCCGTGTTGGACTTCGTATGTGCTTGTGTTTCAATACTTCATACTCCAATTACTCGATGGGGGGGTGATATTATATCGAGCAAGAAGAATCTGTCGGTTCCAATATCATTGTCGCCATGGCAACTTGGACAACAATAGAACTGGATTTTTGTTAGCAGCAGTCATTTGTTTATGAATGGAAAGAAAGAAAAATCTGTTGGTTCCAATATCATTGTCGCCATGGCAACTTGGACAACAATAGAACTGGCTTTTTGTTAGCAGCAGTCATTTATTTATCAATCGACAGAAGGAGCCTTATCGGTACAGAAAACTACTACCATACGATTAACATTATCCCTTCTGCATGACCAAAACAAGTTGCCCCACAGCAAAGACAATATATTTCTCATAATTTTTTTGAACTTTCTATCCTCCTTTGTACTAAACAAGCTCCTAATGGATTCAATGCTGCTTGCCGCGCTTGTCCTTATTCCTCTGTTATCCCTGCTGGTAGAAAGAAGTAAAGGGAAATCAATCTCAAAAAAAACACCTCTGCTTCCTTCACCTCGCAAGCTTCCTTTTATCGGCAATCTCCATCAAATGGGCTTGTTACCTCACCGCTCGCTCTTCAAGCTTTCAAAGAAGCATGGGCCCCTCATGCTTCTACAGCTAGGCAGCGTCCCCACTCTTATAGTCTCATCACCTTCTGTTGCTCAAAAGATCGTCAGAAAACATGATCTCATATTTGCAAGCCGGCCTTCACTTAAAGCATCAAGGATGTTGTTTTACAACAATAATGATATTGCCTTTGCCCCTTATGGAGAATATTGGAGACAGATGAAGAAGGTCTGTGTAACCAACCTCCTTAGCTTAAAAATGATAAAGTCCTTCAGTCTAGTCCGTATGGAGGAGGTGTCTTTAATGATGGAAAGAATTTCTCGGATAGCTTCGACCAATAAGGGAGTTGTATGCATGTCCGAGATCCTGAATTCATTTACATGCAACGTCATTTTTAAATCTCTTTTCGGGTCATCGTTAAGCCAAGAGAAGAGAGAACATCTTTGCGAGTTTATTCGTGAGAGTACTGTTTTGTTTGGTGAAGTGTTCCTCGAGGACTATTTCCCTGGTTTGAGATGGTTGGATGTGCTCATGGGATTGGAAGGGAAGCTTAGACGACAATTTGAGAAATGGGATATTCTTCTTGGAGACTTTATTCAGGATCATATTGTTCGATTCAATGACGGAGAGATCACGAGCAATACTAATTTAATTAATGTGATGCTCCAGCTACAGAAAAATTCAAGCATGGAGTTTGTCCTCACAAATGAACATATAAAGGCAATTTTGTTGGTATGTATTCTTAACATGCAATTGCTAATGGTAGAAAACTTCAAATTTCTGCTTAACTTATTGTCATTAGATAAAGGTTGCCGCTTATTTTAACTTTTCTATTAAATGCTTCTCTTGTAGTACCAGAGTAGATTCAATTTCTAAAGAACTCAAACAGTAATGTTTTCTGTTAATCTTAAAAATGAAATGCTTGTATTTTATACTCTGAAAGGATATGATTGCTGGAGGAACTGACACATCCTTCGCCACTCTTGATTGGAGCATGGCTGAGCTCATTCGAAATCCAGATGTAATGAAAAAGGTACAAAATGAAGTGAGAGAAACAGCTCATGGAAAGGAAATAGTCGAGGAGAAAGACTTGGATAAACTGGACTACATGAGGGCTGTCATAAAAGAAGTTCTTCGTCTGCATCCGCCTGTTCCATTACTTCTCCCTCGGGAGTCATTGCAAGACTGTCAAATACAAAAATATCACATTTCTAAGGGAACCAAAGTCCTTATCAATGCATGGGCTATTGGAAGAGATGATGTTTACTGGAAAGAAGCACAAGAGTTTAAACCTGAGAGATTCCTGGGCAGTGCGGTGGACTATAAAGGTAATGATTTTCACTACATACCATTTGGCTCTGGTCGCAGAATTTGCCCTGGAATGCAGTTTGCAGTCGCCATTGTTGAGCTTGCTTTGGCAAATCTCTTGCACCGCTTCAATTGGGAACTACCGAGCGGCAACTCTTGTGATGGCATGGACATGCTCGAGGGGGAAGGAATAACATCTGTAAGAAAAGAAAAGCTTGAATTGGTTCCAATAGCAATAAAACATACTTGAAAATTTACCAGTCATCATGTCTAAGCCCCACGACTTTAGCATTTCATGTAAAGCAAGGTATTGATGACAGCCGGAACCTATGATGTCATTTCAAATGAATGTATAATGAACGGTTCGGAGAGAATAAGAAGTGTTCCTTTTGTTTGCCTTTTGATGAAAATAAAGAAAGCACCTATTACAGAGCTAGAGAACCTGTTGCGCAACATGTTTTAAGGTTTAAATGTTTGGTTTGTTTATGTCTGGCTTTCGACAAAACTAACAAATTAAAAGGACTAAATATGGGGAGTGTTTGTTTTCACTCCTGAAGGAATTTAAAGTGAAAGTTATCATAGGATATGTGTTCTATTTAATGTCACATTTTTTATATCTAAAAATAATGCATCACGGCATATAAAGAGTATCCGAACCAACCGGTTGGTTCGACCGGCCACATATCTGATTTTAGATAGCATTAAAAATCACTCTTATATAGTACAATCTAAGGAACCATTTCCGAACCAGTTGGTTTAAACCTTTTGGCTCCAACCCTAAGGAACCATTCGGGGGAACCATTCGGCTCGTGTGATTAAATCTTGCTAATTTTATTTTAATTTAAATAGTAAAAACAATTATTTGTTTTGTGATGTGGGATTAAAGAAAAAATTTCGAAGAGATTCAATTTACATGCATGCCATCCAATTTTAGGTAAAAAATTGGGCATTTGCACACATACCACCCTATTTTATGTAATTTTCATATCTAACACCTAATCTCTATTTTTTTTTTTATATTTATACTATTCAAATCAGTCATATCACATCAAAAAATTCAATTTACATACATACCACCCAATCTTATTTATTTACATATCTAACACCTTAGCTCTGTTTTTACATTTATGCCACCAAAGTCATCAATATCACATTAAAACTATCACTATTCTATTTTTATAAAATGAAATAAATGTTTTTATGCAAAGATAAAACGATATATGCTAAAATTGAATTTTTAGTGTTAGATATTTGAGTGGAATGTAAATCTTATTATTGTCATTTTTAAATATATTTGATTTTTTAGGTCATCGATTGAACTTGTGGTTCAACCTTTGAACCCTGAATCTCTTCTTCTATTGGTTTATGGTCTTGTGCGGTTTTCATATCCATGATTTTCACTTTCAAGATATATGTAAATGTCAAATGTGTTGTTTTTGCGGGATCTAGATATACCAGTTGATGTGGTATATATATTATATATAAATCAAAAATAAATCAAACAGGAGAACGATCGACGAAGTGAAAAATAGAACGAGAAAAATCACACCAGAAAAGAACAGCACAGCGGAACACAAATTTACGTGGTTCGACAAATTGCCTACTTCCACGGTGTTGCATAGGATTTTACTACTTGAAGAATTTACACCAGTCGATCATCTCGACTTACAAGAGGAATCTTTTACTCTTCATTGCTCTCTCTCTTCTTCTCTCTCTACATCGAGATACACCGAAGAAAACTCTATACCGAGATATACCGAAGAAGACAAACTTACAAGAGAAATAAACTCAATTTCTCTTATGCCACAAGCCACCAAGAAGAAGCCTAGGGAGAACAATCTTCTTCTTCTTCTTTCTTCTTCCTTCTATTGCAAGAAACTACCGCTTGCGCTTCTCTTCTTCTGCTACGAGGAAATCTTCCTCTATCCCGAGGAAACTGAAGAACTCAAAGCGTGACTACAAAACCCAAGGAGAGCCATCTGAAGCTCTTATCACGAATAGGAGGGAGCGAAGAGATGTTTCACTTCGCAAAAGAGGAAAGCGGGAGTAGTTATTTGTGAAGAGGTGTGACTCTCCAAAGCAAAGTAACAACCCAAGCATAGTGGACCAGGCTCCACCGTTTCTAACAATTCTCTCACTTGGAGACCGGTAAACAGGCTGCAACATCTCCTTCCTCAAACTGATATCTTCCACTAGCGCTGTCGTCTTTTTCTTCAACATGTATCCTCCACCTTGAATCCTCCAACTTGAATCTTCCACCTCTGTGACTCAAATCCTCTGTTTTTACTCTAGAAGACCAACTGAAGCTGTGCACAACTTCATTTTCTCAAAAGTAACACCCTCATTTAATATATCAGCAAGCTTCACATAACTTTGCACCTCCAAACTATTTCGTGGGTCACTCTTGTCTCTTCTTACAACTCCCACTGCATGGGCAACATCCTGCCTCTGCTGAAAGTCTTTTTCAACATATCTAGTATTGTACCTCTTACTGACATGACACTCAGTCTTCACCTTGTACACCTATTTGTTGTGCAATGTCTTTTTCCCTAGTGGAAGTTCTGCCAGCTCCCACTTGCTCGAACTTTCATCATGCAAGATTTATTCATAACTTTGCGGTTCTTTAACATCTGCCTGTGGAACAATAGGAATGGGTGCCCCAGACTCACTTTCCTCTTTACTTCCATCACTGCCCTGCATTGTGGCCTCTAATAGATTTCCTACCACATTCAAAGCTCCTTAATCCAATATCAAGTCTTCAACAGAACTATGAACTGCTAACAATAGTGCATATGAGATTCTTCAGATACCACATTTGTGCTATCACTCTCTATCTTTTTAGGATTCCTGCATTTATTCTTTATGTGGCCAAGTGGCCAATATGTGGCCAACCTTGCCACAATTCCAACAGGTTGCCTGCTTACTAAACCTTAATTTTGATCTCCCTATACTTGAGTTCCTGTCATGTCATCTCCCTTTGAAATCAACATTCAGTGACGAACTCGAACTTGAGACCTCGCCAAAATCTTTCATAGCGGAAGTGGGAGAGAGATCAACCAAAATCAAATCACGAATATCATTG